TGTTGTAATGTTTTGGCTCAAATTACCCAGCCAGCTAGCGTTGACCAAATTTGGAAGACGTTTGCGACATCCCGTAAAAATAACACCAACGGCGCGTAATATAGAAACTACGTGAAGGCACGGCAACTGAGAAGCCTGGGTACTACGCTGGCGGAACATTTCCACGTTTCGCAAAGAAGCATATGATGAAATCCTGCTTTAAAACATTGCAAGAAGAACAAAAATTCAACTCGATGGATGACTGTTGCTATTTGAAGAATATCTGCTGACTAAAACTATATCTTTTTAAATGCCCAAGAACAGACAAATGAATTTTTCGCACGATCTATGATCTGAATTATTATGGAGATCGAGAACTGATTAACATTTTTTTTTTTTTTTTTTTTAATTAAAAAATTTCTTACGTTCACATACCAAATAGAAATTAAGAAAGAGAAAGACACACACACACTTATATAGTACAAATAGAAGAATACAAAGCTAAACAAAGCTATTACAGCAATACAGTTAGTATGTAAATTACAATGACAGCGCTTTAAACTAATGATTGAAATTAATCATAACATCACTTATTCGTGAAAACGCTTATTAAGTTTTCCCCTTTTCTAAAATGATTGTTTAATTTGCCTCTTTTCCTGGCAATATGGAGTTCGATGTTGTAAATACGCCTTGTCCTGGCTATAAAACCTTGAAGAGAAGGTATACCATTCTGGTATTTCCGAGAGTAAATATAAAACTTACCCAGAAGCAAAATATGGTTAAACAGGAGAAAATCTTCTGCAATATCGAACTTACCAAAAATGACATCGTTTTCTTTAAGGTTATGAACAGAGATGTTATAATCGCGCAGCCAGGACAAGACATGTTTCCAAAAACTATATGATACTCTACAGGAAAAGAGTAAATGCTCTACGGATTCAACCTCTGTTTGGCAGAAAGCACAGGATGGGGACTCAGCCATGCCGAAACGAAACAGTTTTTCGTTTGTAAAGACAATACGGTTTAAAATTTTAAACTGAAATTCTCTAAGTTTAGCGAATAAACACTTTTCCAATCAATATCAATGTTTGAATACTTTGCAGCTAACTTTATTTTATTTTATTTATTTATTTATTTATTTATTTATTTATTTATTTAGTCACTCACAAAACCTTACACAACATGAACAAAAGGTGTTAATTAAATTATAAAACTAATGTGACAAGGAAGCCTAACGAAGCTTGAAGCTTATATTAATAGGTTTCCTTCAACTACCTAGTGAACTAAGTTCATGGCTGAGTGCAGAGTGAGCAAGATCAGAAAATTAAACGACAGATCGGCTATTAGTGAGATAATTCTTTAAATTTTTTTTAAAAACAGATATAGAAGGAGAGCTAATTAGTGAAACAGGCAACGAATTCCAGATTTTAGGTCCTCGGTAAAGGATACTGAATTGCTTTATATTTGTTCTACAAAAATGAGGTCTATATTGAGAGGCTAGTCGAGTTTCGTATTGATGGACTTGATTACTACTTAAGAACAAGTCATGAAAGCTATTAGGCAAAAGATTATGGTGATAAGAATACATAAAGGTAGCGACAGAAAATGAATTAATACTAAATATGTCAAGGACTTTAAGCTGGCTAAATAAAGGGGCGGTATTTGCTAGATAGTGAGCTTTTGTTATGAGTCGCACTAGACGCTTTTGCAAAAGGTAAATACAGTTTAGGTTGGAACAGTAGGTGGAGGACCAGGCGACATTACAGTATGTTAAGAAGGGATATACAAGGGAGTAATACAAGGTCATCAAAGTTTGGGATGATAGGTAAAAGCGGGCTTTCGCAATAATTCCCACACTTTTCGAAATTTTTTTTGAGACGAAATCAATAGCAGTAGGCGTTGTTTGTTTTTTCTCCAGGAAAAGCCGGTAGATTTGCTTTGAGGAAGCATCAAGAATTGGGACCAAATTGTTACTTATTAGAATAGCAGGTGAATCCGGAAATGGATGAATCACCGGTGCAGTAGTTGCCCTTTTGGTTGTCAAGCGCCAACTGGCAGGCATAGAGTTAATAAGACCCATAATGAAGAAACCTTGCTCAGGATTGAGATTTTCTTTAGCTGAAAATAAATCGCAAATTTTTAAAAACCCTAAATCTGCAATATCTCTACGATATACAGATTTCTTATTAATGCAGAGAAGCTTGTTACTCCAAATAACTTCATTTGTAATTTCATGTAGCAAGCTGGGCGTTTTTGCATTTACTTCTAACCACGCATCGAGACATTGCTTGTAGAAACTTGGTTGATAAATACTTAATTTAGAAGTATGAAAGTTACAATGCAATATGAGCTTCCTACCAACGGGGATAAGAATCTCATTTAAAAAAGCTTTTCACAGACTTTTATAGTCTTCCAAATATATTTTTAAACATATCACTCGTCTGGTACGAACCACAGAATCAATATCGAGCATATTTAAGCCACCCTTCTCAGCTTCCGACATCATCACATTTCGTTTTACTTTATCTTTCCCATTCCAAATAAAATAGTAAAAAAGCGAGTAGGCCTTTTTGATAAGGTCTTTAGAAATTGGCAACACCGACGCTCTAAACATAAGCTTGGTGATGGCAAAGGTTTTTATAATTTGTATTCTACCTAAGAGAGAAAGTCCACGCCATTTTCACAAATTGATTGTCTTCTTAAGTGATTTCAAAGTATTCTTAAAATTCAATTCATCTCTTTGTTTAGCGTCATAGCCAAAGTAAACGCCTAGAATTTTAATACTGTTACAAAGATTTGGCACATCAGAATATCCCTCCCAAAGAGAACTACTATTTCCTAAAGCTAAGGGTCCGGCTATTTCATTATTTATTTTTAACCAGAACATTCACCAAAAGTCTTCAGCGTAACGAATAGGTTTGTATATGACCTACTATCTTTGATAAAACAGGTCATATCATCAGCGAAAAGGGAAAGAAGTTTAACAGGTTCATCTCGTATCGTAATGCCCTTAATGCCATCATCTTCTCTTATCTTTATATCTAAGGTCTCCAAAGCTATTATAAACAGGTAGGGAGATAGGGGATCTCCCTGCCTTACTCCCCTACTTAGTGCACAAGGTCCTGTTGTAAAACCATTGTTCATTACACAGCTAGAGGCGTTGTTATGTAAGACCCGTATCCACTGAATAAAAGAAAGACCAAAGTTAAATGTATGTAGCACTCTTAAAAGAAAATTTAAAGGGAGCGAGTCGAAAGCTTTTTCAAACTCTATAGCTACTAGAATCCCAGATGTATCTTTGTACCTAGCATATTCAATCACATCATCAATCGTTCTGACGGCATTAAAAATTGTTCTCCCTTTTACAAACGCGTTTTGATTAAAATGAATTACTTCAGGAAGCACCTTTTCCAAACGCTTTGCCAAAGTTTTAGACGCCAATTTAGCATCAACATTTACAAGAGATATTGGACGCCAATTCTTCACCAGCCTTTTGTCTTTTCCTTTCTTTTCAATTAAGGTGATGACGGACTGTTTCTGTGAATTCCATAGTTCACCGTATTCGAAAGCATAGTTCAATCAATCAACTACCAACTTTCCAAGCAAGGACCAAAAGGCTAAGTAAAACTCGGCTGTTAAACCATCGTTCCCTGTCGATTTGTTCTTTTGGAAGGTCTGTAATACATCATAGCATTCATCATATCTAAGGATACCCTCGCAAAACGTTCCTCTTCTCCTCGGCTAAAAATGGAACATCGGTGAGATCATTTAAAAGCGAAGAAATAGTCTGCTTGTCTGCTTTTTTGGGTCGCTAGTTAATGCTCCATTAGTTGTTAAGATTTTGCGGACACTGCTTTTAGTTTTATTTGAATTTTCTAAATTCAAAAAATATTTGTTGTTTTGCTCACCCATTTTATACCAGGTTGCCCTAGAGCGAATGATTGCCCCTTGTGTAATGTAATCGTACAATAGACGATATTCGTATTCTCCGACGGCCCTGGGATGAGAGACTTCACAGCATGATTGCGAGGCTAAAGCGGGGAACTTTTTGGCAAAAACACAAACAAACATTGGTTAGTCGCGGCTGAATTGCCGCAAAACGATAGAAATCAGCAAAAAACTGCAAGATTTGAAAGCTGAAACCTTACGGGTAAGCTAAAGGGATATCTGTTTCAAAAAAAAAAAAACTGTGGGAAGACCTGGTCGTACTAACAGCAAAAGTTAAAAAGCCACGAAGCCTATAAGAAGAAACAAGAAGTAATCAAGAAAATGGTATATTGTGTCAAAATGTCAATACTCGAATCCTTTTTATATAATTTTCTTCTTATTATTATTCTTTTTCTCTTGTGTGTATCTGTAGTGTGGAGTTTAAACTGCTCAGTATTATCGTCTGTACCAAACTCTGTGTTCAACTGCGTGCACGTTTTTGTACTCTCGCACAGTTGTTATCGAAGATAATGTAACTTAAATTTAAAAATAAACTTTACCTAGTCATCTACACTAAATGAGTCGTTTGGTTTACTTCAAATAAACAGTCAAGATTTTGCATACGCTCTGTTAGAAAACTTCAACTGCAAAGTAGGTGTGATAACATCACGGTTAACTTTATCGCAGGCTTTCGATAATTACGTCTATTTCAATAAAAGATATTCTTCAAAAAGTTTAAAGGACACTGAAAATTACGATTAAACTGGGTTCGGGGATTTTGAGAACATCTCTGTTTATATTAAATTATAAACTCGCTCACCAAGCACTCTTCTCATCAATATAATTATCGTTAGGATCGCTGTTTTTCTTAGTAATAATGAGCACATCTTCCTTTTGTTGTTTGAAATAATGACCTCTCAAGTATGTAAGCCCTTCGGAACTTTACAATGTTAAAAATTTTCCTTAAATTCGGCAAACTCAGCCGCAGTTTTCTCATATTTGTTTGTCTTCTTGGCGAGAAGTTCCCCGCATGAGCCTCGCATTCATGATCAAGGCCTACTCGTCCCAGGACTGTCGGAGAATACGAATACTGTCTATTGATCATATTCTGTTTGAAGACACTCCAGTTCTTCGAGATTTCCACTATTTGGATCAATATCACATTTTTCTTTACATTCCTTCAACTTATCTTCCACCTTTTGTAGTTTTGCTCTTCTTTCACGGGCTTTACCTTTACTGTATGTAATTGTTCGCTGTCTTATTTTGTATTCAATTAAATCCCATAAAACACGCTTATCCTGAACCTCTTTAAATTCCTCTAACCAATTCACATATTCAGTGGTTAAAAGTTCACAGTAGTCCGAGTCATTTACTAAGTTCGAATTGAATTTNAATTAAATCCCATAAAACACGCTTATCCTGAACCTCTTTAAATTCCTCTAACCAATTCACATATTCAGTGGTTAAAAGTTCACAGTAGTCCGAGTCATTTACTAAGTTCGAATTGAATTTCCAGAAATTCGGTCCTCTCTTAGTTTCATCAAAGCCGCAAATTGAAAGGGTTATTGCCGAATGGTCAGTTTTTATTGATGTTTTAATCTTCGCTGAAATTATCTCATCTTGCAAACTGTCGCTTATAAGCCAAAAATCTAGACGCCTCTGCACAACCGGAATTTTTTGGCGCCAAGTAAATCGTGATGTAGTGGGGTTCCTAATACGCCAGATATCAACCAAATCGAAATCGAGGTGCATATCTTCAACTAATTTTGCGGAGTCTTTCTTTCTGTTGTTACCGCCCGTCCATCTAAGTCAGGGTCAAGTATGACGTTAAAATCGCCTCCGACGATAATTGGGTAATCCTGTTCTGTTCTAGCAGCTTTCAAAATTTCTGATATTTCTTTAAAAAAAGTACATTGTTCACTACATTTGTTTGGAGCGTAAATATTTAAAAGAAAATATGGTGATTCCTGAATGGAAACCTCTAGGAAAACATAGCGACCTTGAGAATCAACCTTGATAGATCGTAGTTGAAAGTCTAAGTTATCCCTTACCGGTAGAAGTACACCTCGACTGTGGCTTCTACCGTGCGAAAAGAACATGTTTCCTTTCCTCTGTTTCCTCCAGATATTTTCGACTTCTTGAGTACTGAAGCTAATAACATCCTTCTCGATATGATATAAATCTTCAGACCATACGAAAGTCGAATCCTAAAATTATTAATTATCCGTCGCGCTTGGTAATCAATTCATTGATTTTCATAGCCATTGTTCTTGATTATGTATGGATGTTGTTATAAGAAAATCGATGCTAGACACCTATTGGAACTGTCTAGGGGTTAAGTGTATGGAATATATTTATATTACGAGCAATTAAGAACTGATTTTCTTAAAGGTTCTTAAATGTTCATAAAACTGTTTGCTATTGTATGACGAGAATGCAGTAGTTCGTTACATTTTGCTTTCGGGGACTCCTCAAACCACGTCACATTCTTTTTCTGATGTTTTTTACAAACAAAGAGAGAGAATCTTGTATCAGATGGTTGCTGAATGGTACGGTTGGAAGGAAACTAACATTTTCCTTTACATTAATTGTTTTTTAAATATTACCTTTCGTTTCTTTTTTTTCTCGCTCACTGTTTTTGGGTATATATGCTATAAATGTATGATCAAATTATACGTTTACTGCAAAGGGAAGTGTAATAGGAGCTAAGAATAAACTTACAATAAACAAATCATGTACAATCAACAGCGATTCTCGGACACCTAGTATGGGTGATTTAAGTTAATCTGCATTACAGTAATAGTCTCTTTTATTGTTGAGAAATATTAAAGTTCAGAGAAGCTTTCTGGAGATTTATGACAAGGGAAGTAGTTTCCTTTCACAATGGAACAAAATTCCTTGTTGAAGAGTTTGCCACTTTTTGACGATTAATTCCACTAGGGTCATTTTATATAGTAAAAATTGCGTAAACATGAATGGTGGAGAGAACTTTGTTGTTGTCTTGGCATGTGTATCATTGCACTAAGCTTTTTCATCTAGAAAACAAATATGGTATGTAACGCAGCGAACATGGAATAATAAAGATGAACTATGTTTAGAGGCCAGAAATAAATCAGTGACGAACACTGTCTTTCCTTAATTTACCTGAAGATCCTTCGCTAAAATCGTCGCATACGGTCTCCTGGAAGAGACAAAAAAGAACGAAGATGGGAAGCAGGAAGACGCTTGTTTTTCGTGGCTGCTCGAGGAATCCAAAATCCCGCGGA